CTCGGTGTTTTTACTCACCATTTGTGGAAACATTTAATCAGTAGTTATTATTAATCTCCGGCTCTCTTCCACAGCGTGTCCTTATTGTATTTTGTGTTGAATAAATAAAATGTAATTTTATTGTGAAGGAAGGAGGCTTCATGATCTGTAACATGGATTAGAGGGCTGGTGTGTGACTGTGATTCATCGCAGGTCTGCCTAATAATCGGGACACTGTAATGTAATGCATTATTTTTTATAAAGCACTTTTCTAGTCTTACTGACCAACCAAAGAACTTTAGATTGCAAGTCACATTTTAACTACATTGTGTGCACTTTGAGGACTTTATCCGCCTCACATTCGTAGCCAGATTTTCCAGTTAACCTAACATTTAATCCACGTTTGGACTGTGGGAAGAGTCCCTGGAGAAACCCGCACAGGGAGAGCATACAAACTCCCCGGAGAGGCCACAGCTGGAGGTAAAATCAGGAGCGTTTGTGGCCGTGCTGAACACAGAGCGACTGTGTGCTCGTCATACTGCGCTAACCTCCGCTGGGCTGAAAATAAAAAGATGTATTCAGTGATGTTTGTCGTTGGGATGATATTTAAGAAAGATAAGAGTCGGTTTCTAATAGGCAACAACTGTTTTTCAGGTCCTTCTCTTATGATTGAAGCTGACATTGTCATGAGAGGTCGTGATCCCAAAGAGCCAATCATGGCACATCCCCCTGATACAGACAGTGACATCACTCTGAGGGAATGGCTGGAGGGAGTGAAAGAGTACGGCAAGGGGATAAAGCTGGACTTTAAGAGGTGAGAGGCAGGTTCTGTTCCACCAATGCTGTGTGGGTCTGTGTGACGCTAACGCTGAGCTATACTCTCCACATAGCATGGAGGCTGTGTCAACATCTTTAGTCCTGCTGCAGGAGGTGCTGACTGAGCCATACCGTCCTGTGTGGATCAACGCAGACATCTTCTCGGGTCCTGGGGGGCAGATCGTACCTCTGGAGCATCACACCTTCCTCTCTGTTGTGACTCATCTTCCCTCACACACTGTGCTGTCTCTGGGCTGGACTACAGGATGGACTGCTGGGACAGATAATCCAGGTAAACATCACCATTGCCTTTTTGTACACTGAGAACTCAATTTTATTGATAATAGAAGAATAATATCATGTAAACAAATGTATTCAGATTATGGCTGGTGTGGGTATCGTCACTGATTTCTAGAATCGATTCAATTCGATTTGATTTGAATCGGGGAAATTTTGCCTTGGACAGTCAGAAATATTATAATTCTGATCACTTATCAGTACATATCTATATTTTTATATCTATAAAAGCAAAGCTGACACGTTTGAGACTTGATCAGAGGTGTGAGCGTCACAGCAGACGCCTTTGTGTCACAGTAGCTGAGGATCAAACAGAAAAACAAAGTTGCAGAGGGTTGATTACAGACACAGCTAGGAGTTTTGCAATTTGTGATCATTTTAAAAAGTTTACATTTCTTCAGTATTGAGCAGCAGAAATGCGGCTTTCTTGTCAGAAGTCATTTAAGTAAAAAGAAAAACCACAGCGCTGTAAACAACGGTAGACTGGTAATGAGCAAGCATACGGGAAACTGTTCTTCAAGTACACAGAGAGAGAGAGCTGTGCAGGAAGTGTGATTTTATCGTGGTGGAAGCAAAGCAGCAAAGTCAGAGTGAAGTCATGACGATGTTTATCTGTAGTTTGGATCTTCTTTTGCTGCTGGTTCAGTCGATGTTGTTTGGAGAGAGATAAAAACCTGCAGCTCCAGAATCTAGCACGTGAACACAAAGCTCGACCCGCCGAAACATCAGAATCAGTGAGCAGATTCAGCCCGACCGTGTGCGTGCCGTCGGGTGAGAAAGTCGACATCTCACTGATTCTGATCCGTCGGCGGGTC